ACAGAAGCCGAAGATGCAGAGGGGGACTTGCCGAGCCCGCGAGCGGAGTGGCATCAGAAAACTAATCCGCGAGGGAAATTCACCGGCACCCTTCGCCCAGACGACGCTGTCCTCGCCCAACAGGTCAATGATCAGGGCCGACCGTGGCACACAGACGCCGTCGTCAGTACGGATCTGGAACATCTACCACGCAGCCTGCAACACGAAAGTAGCACTGACACCAAGCAGAACACCGCCCAGTCAGTCAACGCACCTCGGAGCAACCGACGTGCGGGGCGGCAGGCGCGAGCCAAAGTAGCGCCGTGCCGTAAAGGGCATCTGCCAAGGAAAGGCCCTTGTGCTCCCGTCACTGAAGCCAGCGTCATAATATAACACCGTGGATCAGATAGAGAATGCGGACGCAGCAAACGGCCATATAAGCGGAGGTGACAAACAAGCCCATGCGCCTCCTGCGGGGGGGCAGCCGTAGGACGATGGACGGGCCAGACAGTTCGGAACATGGATCGATACATCTCCTGGCGCACGCGCCCCGGAGGGGGCGCCGAGGGCCAGGGCCGTGCCTAGGGTGGGGTCGCAGCTAACAGCCGCAGAAATGCTAGGTCAAGGGCGGGCCCGCGCGCCCCCTGGGGGGGCAGCCGCAGGGGGGGGGACGGGGCAGTCGACCAGGATGTTCATTGCCAGCTGGCCACTGCGCCCTGGGGGGAGCGCAGAGGCCGCGGAGGAGCCGCGGGTGGCGGGTCGAAAAATCTCCTGGCACAAGCGCTCCGTGGGGAGCGCTGAAGGGCAATCCGTGCTGTGAGTGGGGTCTAACAGCCGCAGAAATGTTGAAGTCAACATGTCTGGTCGATCGATCTCGCGATCGGGATCCGAATGCCTGTCCACGGGGGGAACCTCAGCCGCGCAGCTAACAGCTGCAGAAATTCCAAAACTTCGTGAAGGATCAGGGCCTGGACGATCGGGCAGCTGCACGCGGGCGTTCTCCATCTCAGTCGCCCGCGTAGTACTGCGGCCTGCTGGGGGGGGGGGGCTCTGGAGCCCCCGCTGGGCCCGAGGGGGGGGGCTGAGCTCTGGGGGGGCACTGCTCAGCGAGATGTTGGCGGCGATGCTGGAGCCCAGCCGCGCGCGCGAGAAGGGCGGGCAGAGGCAGCCGGCCCAGGCATTGCTCAGCGACGTGTTGGCGGCGATGCTGGAGCCCAACCTCGCGCGCGAAAAGGGCGGGCAGCGGTAGCCGGCCAAGGCTCTGCTCAGCGAGATGTTGGCCACGACGCTGGTGGCCAACCTCACGCGCGAGGAAAGCGGGCAGCGGCAGCCAGCCCAGGCACTGCTCAGCAAGACGTCGGCGGCGACAGTGGTTGAAGGGGCCCTGGGACACACAAATAAATACACACAAATAAAATGATTCCCCATATTTTCCCATATTTTCTGGGTTTTTGTCTTCGCCCCCACTTCCCATATTTTCGCATATTTTCTGGGAATTGACGAATAATTGTGTCTGTGTGTTTTTTCCCCTCTTGAGTGGTGGCCGGCCTCGCGCGCGGGAAGGGCGGGCAGTGGCAGCCGGCTCAGGCGCTGCTCAGCGAGATGTTGGCGGCGATGCTGGAGGGCAGCCTCACTTGCGAGAAGGGTGGGCAAGGGCAGCCGGCCCAGGCACTGCTCAGCGAGATGTTGTCGGCGATGCTGCAGTCCTGTCTCACGTGCGAGAAGGGTGGGCTGCGGCAGCTGGCCGACTGCTGCTCAGAGAGATGTCGGCGGCGATGCTGGAGGCCAGCCTAGGGCAGGCAGTGGCAGTGGCAGCCAGCCCAGGCATTGTTCAGCGAGATGTCGGTGGCGACGCTGGCGGCCAACCTCACGTGCGAGAGGGCTGGGCAGGTGGCAGCCGGCCCAGGCACTGCTCAGCGAGATGTTGGCGGCGATGCTGGAGCCCAACCTCACGTGCGAGAAGGGCAGGCCCTGGCAGCCAGCCCAGGAATTGTTCAGCGAGAAGTTGGTGACGATGCTGGTGGCCGACCTCACGTGCGAGATAGGCGGGCAGCGGCAGCCGGCCCAGGCACTGCTCAGCGAGACGTCGGCGGCGAGAGTGGTGGCCAGCCTCGCTTGCGAGAAGGGCGGGCAGTGGCAGCCGGCCCAAGCGCTGCTCAGCGAGATGTTGGCGGCGGTGCTGGAGGCCAGCCTCACTTGCAAGAAGGGTGGGCAGCGGCAGCCAGCCCAGGCACTGCTCAGCGAGATGTTGGCGGCGATGCTGCAGTCCTGTCTCACGTCCGAGAAGGGCGGGCAGCGGTGGCCGGCCGACTGCTGCTCAGAGAGATGTCGGTGGCGACGCTGGAGCCCAGCATCGCGTGCGAGAAGGGCAGGCAGTGGCAGCTGGCCCACGCGCTGCTCAGCGAAATGTTGGCGGCGACGCTGGAGCACAACCTCACGTGCGAGAAGGCTGGGCAGTGGCTGCTTGTCCAGGCACTGCTCAGCGAGATGTTGGCGGCGATGCTGGAGCCCAACCCATGCGCGAGAAGGGCAGGCAGTGGCAGCCAGCCCAGGCAGCGTTCGGCGAGATGTGCGTGATGACGCTGGTGGCCAACCTCACGTGCAAGAAGGGCGGGCAGTGGCTGCCAGCGCAGGCACTGCTCAGGGAGATGTCGGTGGCGACGCTGGTGGCCAGCCTCACGTGCAAGAAGGGCGGGCAGCGGCAGCCAGCCCAGACACTGCTCAGCGAGATGTCGGTAGCGATGCTGAAGCCCAGCCTCGCGTTCGAGAAGGGCGGGAAGTGGCAGCCGGCCCAGGCACTGCGTTCGGCGAGATGTTGGTGCCGACGCTGGTGGCCAGCCTCGCGTGCGAGAAGGGCGGGCAGTGGCAGCAGGCTCAGATTCTGCTCAGCGGGATGTCGGTGGCGACGCTGGAGCCCAACCTCACGTGCGAGAAGGGCGGGCAGCGGCAGCTGGCCCAGGCAGCGTTCGGCGAGATGTTGGTGCCGACGCTGGTGGACAGCCTCGTGTGCGAGAAAGGCGGGCAGTGGCAGCCGGCCCAGGCAGCGTTCGGCGAGATGTTGGTGCCGACGCTGGTGGCCAGCCTCGCGTGCGAGAAGGGCGAGAAGTGGCAGCCGGCCCAGGCACTGGTCAGCGAGATGTTGGTGGCGACGCTGGAGGCCAGCCTCACGTGCGAGAAGGGCGGGCAGTGGCAGCTGGCCCAGGCACCGCTCAGTGGCAGCAGGCCCAGGCACTGCTCAGCGACACGTTGGTGGCGACGCTGGTGGCCAGCCTCACGTGCAAGAAGGGCGGGCAGTGGCAGCAGGCCCAGGCACTGCTCAGCGATATGTCGGTGGCGATGCTGGAGCCCAACCTTACGTGCAAGAAACGCGGACAGTGGCAGCCGGCCCAGGCATTGCTCAGCGAGATGTTGGCGCCGATGCTGGAGCCCAACCTCACGGGCGAGAAAGGCGGGCAGCGGCAGCCAGCCCAGGTACAGCTCAGCGAGACGTCGGTGACGAAGCTGATGGCCAACCTCACGTGCGAGAACGTCGGGCAGTGGCAGCCGGCCCAGGCATTGCTCAGCGAGATGTCGGTGGCGACGCTGGAGGCCAGCCTCACGTGCGAGAAAGGGCGGGCAGTGGCAGCCAGCCCAGGCGCTGCGCAGCGAGATGCTGGTGGCGACGCTGATGGTAAGCCTCACGTGCGAGAAGGGCGGGCAGTGGCATTCGCTCCAGGCACCGCTCAGTGAGATGTCGGTGGCGCTCGAGCCCAGCCTCACGTGCGAGAAAGGCGGGAAGTGGATGCCGGCCCGACCGCTGCTCAGCGAAATGTTGGTGGCGACGGTGGTGGCCAGCCTCACGCGCGAGCAAGACTGTTCGGCGAGCCGGAGTGCGCGGCTGGCGGGGAGGCGCGGCGCAAGCGGCGCCGCATCGTGTCGCAGGGGGGGAGGGGGGGGAAAGCAAAAACAAAACAACTCAACCAGTTCAGCGGCTGTTGGCCGCTTCGTAGCTGCGCCCCGATCCGATCCTCTAGCCGGATCCTCCTCTGGAGGAGAGCCTGGCCGTCGGCTGGCTTGGAACGTGGCGGGCGGATGAACCCCCCTGCCGCCTGAGTCTACTTGCCATTGCGAAGTGGTGGGCAGCGTGAAGAATTGCCAGGGGCACTCCACGAGCGCACGGCACCGCATTCCCAGTGGACCCAAGCGGGATAGATACTCGACGTCCCGAATCGGCCGAATGCATCCGGCGAGGCGCATGTTAGCTAGCGTAACCGACTGGGGATTGCACCGGAATGCTCGAATGCCAATGCCGCGTGAACCCGTGCAGATTCCCCCAGTTTACTTGTCTTGGTGGGCGTTCTCTAAATGCCTGAAGGTGTGTGCCTGAAGGTTTGAGAGGGGGGATGAGGACGAGGATGAGGTTGAGGATGAGGATGCCGATATGTTGATGCTGCTGCTGAAGATGTTGTTGTTGTTGTCGTCGTTGTTGTTGTGGGTGGTGTTGTTGTTGATGATGATGATGGTGATGCTGCTGCTGATGATGTTAATGAGGAAGAGGAGGAGGAGGAGGAGGAGGAGGAGGAGGAGGAGGAGGAAAAGGAGGATGAGGAGGAAGGGGGGGGTAGATTTGGGGAATAGGGGAGGAGGAGGCTAAGGAGGAGGAGGAGAAGGAGGAGGGGGAGGCTGAGAAGGAGGAGGAGGAGGAGAGGAGGAGGAGCAAAATGGGATGGTCTACTGCAGGGCCTCGGGGTAGGGATGGGAAGGAGGAGGGGAAGGTGAGGAGGCGAGGGGGGAGGACTGGACACTGCAGCACACGCCAGCATGGGCGTGCCACGAGCCCAACCCAACCCACCAAGCCCCAACTGGACCCACGTCCAGAAGGGCCAGGAGGGAGAGGCAAGACTCACGGGAACAACCACGCCATCCTGTGTCAGCCACCAGGCTGCCGCCCCTGCTGCTAGACAAGGGTGGGGAGGAGGTGGAGGAGGGGGAGGAGGAGGAAGAGGAGGAGCTGGAGGAGGGTCGGGGATCTGCCGCAAGGCCTCCGGCATAGCGGTCTGGGTTGCGCCACTGCGACACGTCGCCACGCCGCACGTGCATGGCCACCTCCGTCCCCAGCGCGGTCGAGTGGGGGGGGACGACAAGGAGAGTGATACGCCTCCTGCTCATCCTTCTCCATCCCTCCTCCACGTTTGTTTTTGTCCCTCCTCCTCCTCATCCTCCTCATCCCCATCCTTCTCCATCCCTCCTCCATCCTTCTCCTCATCCTTCACCATCCTCCTCCTCCTCCTCCTCATTCTATCCATCCCTCCTCCATCCCTCCTCCTCATCCTTCTCCATCCCACCTCCTACACTCTTTCTGTTCTTTCGACACGTGTGCACACGGCCGAACTCCTAACTTCGACCCTTCCCGCAGCCTGCCCGCCAGTCGCGGAGGCCGGCACCCGGCGGCCGCGCGCCTCCTGGCGGCTCTCCCCACCGGGCGCAGCAACAAGTGCGAGGCCGGGATTTATCCATGTCCACCGCCTGGGAACCGACGTCCTGGTGCCCCAGCGGGCGGTGGATATGGACACATTTCGGCCCCCGGGGGCCCGAATATGGCCATATCCACCGCCTGCCGAGATCCCCGAAGTTGATCCTCCAGGCGGTGGTCATGTATCCATTCCGCCTCGGAACAGAAACGTTCGAGCTCGCGACGCTTCATTCTGCGCCCTCCGGCTTCATCGAGAGTCCCATCTTGCCCGCACCAACGTCGACGTCGACCACCCTGACTTTCACCTCCTGGCCGACCTCGAGCTCGTCCTCCACGTGCTCCACGAAGCCGTCCTTGATCTGCGTGATGTGCACCAGGCCGTCCGCCAAGGCGCCGTCTGGCGCCTTCACGTTCACGAAAGCCCCGAACGATGCGCACCTGGCCACCGTGCCGGTGAGCCACTCGTCGGGGCTGATGGACTCGAAGGCGCTGAGGTCGGCGGGCTCCCGGGAAGTAAACCCGCCGCCACCAAAGCCACTGTCCTCCCTCATGGCCACTGTCCTCCCTCATGCTCAGGCTCATCTTGTTCGCGTCCAAATCCACGGACTGGACGCGTACCTTCACTGTCTGGCTCACCGAGACGTAGTCGCTGATGTTATCCACGAAATCGTCGGTGATCCTGGACACGTGGCACAGGCCCTGCGCCTCTGTCCCGTCCTCTGCGGTCAACACGATGAACGCGCCGAAGGACGGCGTGCTCACGACCTCGCCCTCGAACCACTCGTCCGGGGACACGCCCTCGAAAGGGGTGACGTCGCTCTGGACACGACGCCCCTGGTCGCTGTCCGTCTTGCCCTCGATCATGGTCAGGCCGAACTTCCCGTCGTCGCGCAGGCCGCTGATCCAGACCCTGACCTCCTGGTCCTCCTCCAATACCGAATAGATGTCGTCGATGCGCTCCGTGGAGATGGACGAGATGTGCACCGACCCGTCGCCCTCGGCTCCGATGTCGACGAAGGCGCCAAAGTCCCGCGCTCTGCGCACGGTTCCCTGGTACTCCTGGCCGACCTCGAGTGAGTCGAACGGGATGGGAGGGACCTTCCTGTCCTTCGGGCTCACGTCGGACTCCTCCCGGCCACCGTCGGGATCAGCCCACTTGACCGTGAACGCGCCATCCTTGTCCGCCTTCGTCACAGTACCTGGGTAAATCATGCCGTCCTGTGGAAATCTGCCAAGCACCTGGTCGCCCCTCTTGTAGTCTCGCTCGACATTGACCTTTTTCATGTTCTCGGCGTGGACGTCCAAGGTCTCCTCGCCTCCATCAGGATCGTCCCACTTCACGCGGAAGATGTTCTCGCCAAGCGCCTCCGCCACCGTGCCAGGATACCAGCGCTCGTCGTCGGGATTTCTGGCCCTGCAATCGTCGCCGGCCTTGTAGTCCTTGGTGAATCCGCCGGCCCCCTTGTGGGGCCACGAGGCTGTAGGGCTAGGGTTTCCTGCTCCCTGCGCCAGTTGCAGGTTCCAGTTTTCACTGTTACAGGTTTGCTTTATGCTTCCTACTGTAAAAGATTACCGTCCGCGCGAGGGGGGGGGGGGCCGAGAAGGAACCTAGTTAACACGCCCGAGTCGCGTGCTCTGAATCCCTGGGGGGGGCGTGGGACATGTAAAAATACATAAAATGCGCGCCCCCGAGGCCATACACCCTCGTAAATTATACCATGTTCCCGTCCCCGAGGTCATAACCCCCCATGAATTAGGCAACACTCGCGTTCCCGAAACCATAAACCCTCGCAACATAAACCATATTCGTGTCCCCGAAGCCAAAGACACTCGTAAATTACGCAACAATTGCGTCCCCGAGGCCGCACACGCTGGTAAATCATACAATATTCGCGTGCCCGAAGCCATAACCCATATAAATTATACAATATTCGCGTCTCCGAAACCATAAGCCTGCATACATTACTCTATATTCGCGACCCCGAAGCCATAAACCCTCGTGAATTACACACGGTTCGCGTATCCGAAACAATAAGCCATTGTAAGTTACTCTATATTCGCGTCTCCGAAGCCATAAACCCTAGCATATTACTTTAAATTCAATCTTTATTCGCGTTCCCGAAGCCATACACCCTCGTAAATCACGCCCCCGAGATCATACACCGACGTGAATTACTGCATATTCGCGTCCCCGAGGCCATACGCCCTCGCAAATTGCGCGATGCTCGCACAAGCCCTCGTAAATCACGCAATATTCGCGTCCCCGAGGCTATACAACCCAGTAAATACGATATGCCACTTGCCAATGGCCCTAGCATGAGATTCCGACATTGTTTCACGACGGCGCCGAGAAAATACAACACAGCTCTGGCATGCCCCATTCCGATTGAAAGGGGGCCGGCCTGCAGAGGGCGAAACACTTACGGATATGCACCTCTTGATGTACTCCTCGGTCCGCGACTTGGTCTCTGGGCCACCGTCTGGGTCGTCCCGCGCCAGCGCCCTCCGTCACCCTGCCAGAATACCACTGCTCGTCGTCGGGGGACAGCGCCTTCACCCTGCGCCCGACCTCCAGGGTGGTGTCCGCCTGGCACCGGGTGCCGACCTGCGCGAGGAGCACCCGAGGGCACCGCGCGGCCTCGCCACCAGAGGCACCCCGCGCACGCGGGCGGCTGGCGGCGCCCGCCGCCGACAGGAGGGCCAGCGGGCCCTTCAGCAGCCGGCAGGGCGAGCGCGGTGGCCGCGGCGAGGCCGCGGCCTCGGCCGCGCGGGGTGGTCGTCGCGGCGGGGGCCATCTCTGCGCGAAACGCGCCGAGGGGGGGGCCTGGAGCCAGGGGCCCGCGCCGGACGCTGAGACGGCTTGAGCCAAGATGGCTTGAGGGCGGCGGCTGTGATAGTTTGCAAAGGGGTTTCCTGCTTTGGAATTCCTTTATAAGCCTCGCAAAGCCAACTTGCAACAACGGGCTTGTTGCAAAACCGCGGTTTTGCAACAAAAGGCCTTTTTGCAACACCCCAGTTTTGCAACATCTCCGTTTTGGACATCCCAGCGATCTTGTTGAATCAAGACGATTCTGACCCAACTCGGAAAAGGTGCCGAAACGTTGATTCTAAGCGAAATGGGAAGATCTAGTATCTTGTTGCATCAAGACGATTGTGGCCCAACTCGGAAAAAGGTGCCGACACGTCACGTTTCGGCACATTTTCCGATCTGCTCCCTTCGTTTAGGATCCACGCCACGTTTCAAACGTGGCGTGGATCCTAAGCGAAGGAGGCAGATTTGCTGCATCAAGACAAGAGTGGCCCAACTCGGAAAAGGTGCCGAATTGGGCAAGCCATCGCAGTGCAGGACAGGACGCCCCTATGCAAAGTACCAGAGCCGCTTGAAAAAAAAAACCCTCGCCCTCCTGTCTTCCTCCTCCCTCCCCCCCTTTCCGACCGACAACGACGACGACGACGTGTGTCCAGATCGGGCACCCCAGCCAAACCTTCAGGTACGGGAGGGGGCCGAACAGCATTGCACGTAGGCACCAGATGGCCCAAAAGGGCCCAACCAGAGCACCAGAGGGGTGCAGCCCCACGCCCAGGCCCACCCCAAGACAGGTGGCGGAGAGGCGAAAGCCTGAGGCAACAAAAAAAATCCGCGGCCGTCGCCGCCGCCCCCGTCGTTGTCGCAAACACGCGGCTCACTTGATCATTGAATCATTGATCATGTTGCGCGCTTCCGACGGCGACGACGGCGACGACGACCGCGACGAGGGAGAAGGCGGGGAGAGGGACGATGATGAGGAGTTGGATGGGGCCACTTCCAAGTGCCCCGAGTGGCAATCGGCGGTTGCCACTCGCTCTTAAAAGGCTGCACTGCAGGGCGCAAGTCGCCCTGTCCAGCGCGGCAGACGGAGACTTGGAGCGGGGGCTGAGGTCGGTAAAACGATGGGTATTGTTAGCTGGGGCCGGTTAGTATAATTGGTTGTCTGCTGAGGTTTGAAGGTCTTGGTATGCGAGCTGAAGTCGATAAGTGGATTTGTATGTTAACTGAGGTCGGCTGTATGTTAGCTGAGGTCGGTTAGAGAGGACAGATTGTGACAGCGGCCAGCCACCTAGCCCTTCTTGGGAGCGGTAGCTTTCTTGGCCTTCTTGGCGCTCGGGGCGGGGCCAGTGAGTTCGGCGGCCTTGGCCTTGTGAACCGCGGCCACTGCCTGCTCGACGAATGCCGCCAAGCCAGCAGGAAGGGAAGTGGTCGCGCGCTGCACTTGTTCCGCAGTCGCGCCGAGGGTCGCAACCGACGATCGAACAGCTGGCGAAAAAAGCGCCTGCGAGGCAACTAACGAGTCGATCCACTCCACGGCCTTGCTCTTCCATGGCCCATGGGCGGCCGCTCCGCCCCCCAGGTCGGCCACTGGCTTCCCCGCCAGGCGGCCCACGAGATCCATGACGGTGTTCGTCATCTTGAAGATGGTCTTGTACGAGCTGTAAAGCTCCGCTGCCTCGGGGGTCGAGGAAGCAGTAAGCATCTTGGGGTAGTCCGCATCCGTGAGCTCCTTCTTGCAGGCCGATGCGTACATGTCGACGAGCCCCTCATTGGCATTCCACTTGGCCGCCCAGGCTGCGGTGGAGTCCCCAACGAACTGCGAGCACGCATCGACCGTGGCCGAGTCCAGCGCCTCTCGCATTTTGGTGAAGGCATCCGCTGCATACCGCACCAGCGGAGCTCGAACGCCTTTCTCCTCAGGGGAGATGGTTAGGAGCAACATGATAAGGGCGGGGGTGGGGAGGGGGGAGGCGAGGGCGGGGGAGGGGGGGCCTCCTCCGCCCTCACCCCTCACGCTCCTCCGCGTCGTCGTCGTCATCGTCGTCGTCGTCGTCATCGTCGTCGTAATCGTCGTCGTCGTCGTCGTCGTCGTCGTCGTCGTCGTCGTCTCATCCCGCCCTCATCCCCCAGAAGAGTTCGGACCCCGCCAGTCCGACATGCGCTCGGCGAGCGCCGTGAGCTCCGCCGCCCCCTTCGCGAACCCGATGCTGCGCTGCCAGCGCTCGGTGCACTCCTCGGCGAGGCCGTCGCTGATGATGCGCGCGTCCTGGTACTTCATGTCAGAGGCCTTGGCGGCCGTGACCATCCTGGGGAACGAAACCACATGGAAGACGTCGGTTGTCTCCCGAACCTTCTGCTTCTTGGCTTGCAATGCGAGAGCTGCCTGCGTGAAGTCATCAGGGAGCCATTCCACCAAACTCGAAAAGAATCTTTCGTCGTCGATCGCCAGCTGCATCTTGAGGTACTGAACGAACTCCTTCCACTTGGCATCGTTGGCACAAATTTCGTCGAGGTCATGCTTCCACGAGGCGAGGGCCGCAGCGGCGTGACTCTGAGACAGCTTCGCTCGCACGGAGTTTAACACGTGCCCCTGGAGCTCGCGCGCAAAGTCAGTCACGAATGGGAAATCATCGTCCCCGACAGGGGCGCACCGAAACAGATACTCCCGAAACGGTTGGAAGGTCGACGATGCCACGTCGTACTTGCCCTTGCTGTCCGCGGCGGTGAAGGACGGAAAGTGGTTGCTCAAGTGGGCGGTCAAGGCCTCCAAACACTCTGCCTGCTCCTTGATGCGGAGCACTCTGGGGTCGTCATCCTTCGCAACGGCCGCCAACTGCTTGCCGATCTCAGCCGAAGTCTTCGCGATGACCTCAGCGGACGAGCCACTGCCAATCAGCGACGCGGCCGCGCATTCCTTGTCGACGCCATGGGAGGCCAGCTGCGCCTTCAAGGTATCCACCGCTGGCCCCAGGGCACCATGGACAGCTTGTACGAACGTATCGGCCAGTAGCTTGACTGCCAAGTCCACGTGGTCCCGAACCTTGGCAATATTAACCTTGTTCGCCTGCTTGAACGGGTCCTTGCTGGCATCGAACTTACAAAGGTGTGCGAACAGGCCCTTCCACTGCTTGGCCTTTTGCAGCGTGAGGGCGCCATCGTTGAGTTTCGCCTCCTTGCCAATCTCGCCAATCAACTGCATGGCCGCGTTCAGCTCCGAGGCGCCCTGGGTATCAGCGAGCATCTGGAGAATCGCATTCCCGACCGTCTGCGCGATGTGCAGCCCCGTGGCCCGCGCCCCCAACATGTACCCCACGTAAGTCCGCTTCCTGCTCTGTAGCGCCTTCAACTCGGGCAACTCCATCGGCTCGCCTTCTTCAATACTCGCCAGCGCGAGCTTCTTCAAATCATCGAGCTCCACCCTCAAACCGTCGGCGAGAATCTTCAATGTGTCAGTGGAAGTAAGGAAGCTGATAACATTCTTCATATTGCCTTTTTCACTCATCAGGGCATCAAGGTCACTGCAGATGCGCTTGCGCTGGATGGTCTCCTGAAGTGTCTCGGGCATCGCGTTAATCCCATGGCTGCAAATCATTGGGTCCCCATGAGGGTCCAGCAAGGCAACGTACTCAGGCGTCCCGAACGTCGCGCCGTT